TGAGTTCTTCTGACAAAGTTGCCCAAAAATGCGCCCAAAAATATATATTTCAAACAGGAGTTGTATTTTTCTCGTTTATAATGATTGGGTTTCAAGTAATAATTAGTTTGATTATAATAAATTTAACAGAAATAACTACCAAAGCAAGATGTATAAAATAGTGAAGGTTGATTCAATTTTATGCTTATTATTTCAAATATATATTTAGATTATGATTTTTAATTTTGTTGTTCAATCCAATAATTAAACTGCATCGCATTAATTGAATAATATTAACCCCGTGTATGTTGTGAAAAAGAAAGCTGGCAAATTTTTGAAAAATAGTAAAAATTCATATTTCTGCAATGATGAATTAGCTGGAGTTTCACAAAACATACTGATATTATTGTTTGTTTGACGAGTTATTTGTTGTGACATAATTTGTTTGATTTTCATAAAATAATTGCTAAAAATCAAATTGGACCTTTGTGCTCCACATTACTCTATATATATATATATATATATATATATATATATATATATATATATATCTAACCGCATATATAAAATATCATAGTTGACGATTTAATTGAAGTAGTTACACAGTTCCTTAGACTAACAACTGGACTTTGTACTTTATTTCATTTATTGTAAAAAATGAAAATAAAAAATATATTGCTATCGCATCAAATTGAGTGTTCGATCGATTAAAATGATTGATTTGACACGGTTCTGATCGAAAGAGTTGTGTGCTTTGATGTAACGCAACACTTACATGTCAACATTAATTCAAATATTTCTATAGACTGGTTGAATGGTTAAAAAAACATTCGATTCCTATTGATAGGAAAATGTGCTGATTAGCTTTTGGCAAAGGCAGGTTCAGCCGTTACGGAGATACGGAGCAAAGAGTGCAGAAAATACAAATCGAGTTTTTGAATATCAGTATTTTGAGTCCGGAGTATCCGATTTAAATGATCTAAAAAACAATCAATTTGTAATGATTGGGAGAAGAGGTGATTAGTTTTTGGCAAAGGCAGGTTGAGCCATTTCGAAGATACAGAGCTAAATGTACAAAAATTGGCAGTTTTTGAGAGAACTAAGCGTCCGATTTGAATGATTCAAAAAAATTTCTGCTCGTTTCAACAAATTAATTGCTTTTGGAGAAAAAAAAATAGTTTCAAAAAAAATTTATTTCAAAATTTTTTTATATATTGAAAATAATTCAGATTTTAATTTTAATTCGGACTAAAGTTCTAAAATACTTTAAACAAATAATTTCAACTTTTCAGTCAGTCAGTTTATATAATTCTTATAAATATTAGACAATGTTACAGTATTTATAATAATCTGCTTGAAAATATTTAATATTCCTCGAACATTTTGTTACGGTACGGGAAGTTCCAGCAATTTGCCTTAAGGCACGATGCCATGCACCTCTGGCAATGACAAACCGATCATTATATAAATTATGCATCACGGGTGTTATATATATTACTAATAAACATTATTCAAAATTGTTATTTGATGTATTTATTTTTACTTAACTTAAAAATTGTTACTTTGTACAGTAGCAAATAAATTTTACTTCAATTGCATGTGAACTCTTTTTCATTTTATTTATCTCTTATAAAATTGCCTTTATTTTTTTATTGTGAAAAATTACTTTTTTCTTTACTATATGTTGATTGTTATATAGAACTGTTGAATCTAAACTAACGGTGAATTAAATAACGTATAGTTAAAAATTGTATTAAGATCTTGTAAACTAAACATTAGTGCTCACAACCAAAAAAACTAACAACGAAAGCAAATACTTTTGTTATGGATTTTCAAACATTGCCGTTAATCTCCCGATAGCGACGTCGTAAAAATCAAGGTGATGGCTGGTTATACATATTTTGCCCTCTACTTTCAGTGTTGTTAAACAATTTCAAACTTTACTAGTTTTTGAGATGGTGGTGGTGAACATTTTTACTCGCTGACCTTTATGCCCCGCTCTACAGTATGTTAGCAACATTGTATATGTATGTATTAATTTGTGTGACTATTTTTTTTTTGAAAAAAAAATGCGATTTTTAATTTTATTCAACACGAAGATTTTACACTTATATTTTGGAAACTTTTACCTTTTTAGTCTAAGCTTGTATCAAGGCTCACAATTGCCATAAGTAGTCATAAAATGTTGCGCTTAATGCTGATAATCAGATAAAACCAAAGGGAAAGAAATTAATGTTAATTTATGATCAATTCATGTTTGTTTTTCTTCATAGTTTTTGCATCCGCAGAAAAAAACAAAGTCGAATTTTGTGTACGTATAATAAAATATTAGATTCACGACCGCATTTGCTTTCATATTATTGGTTTAATAAAATATGTACATAATATTAAATACCTTCAAAATTCAGAAACGTATTGGTGTGAATAAAATAGATTTTCGTTTTTGTTTTATTATGGTCATTAATATTCTCAACCAATTGCTCCTAACGGACACTCTGAGATTTTGATAAAAATGTGCTATTATATAGTCTATCATTTAATTGGACAGGAAAAAAACATATAGGGGAGCTAGAGGCTTGTTGTAACAGTGTTTTTTTAATTAATATATCTTGAGATCCACTGAATATATTTTTATGAAATAAAGATCCGGTATGTGTTAGAACTAGCTCCAAACACGGGGTACGTCTTTTTCATCGCAATTGTGAAATAATGAACAACAGTTGTGTAATTATATTAACTTGATTCGGTAGAGTAGTAGTTACAGCAATTTTACATCTTCATTTCTACATTTTATGACATCATACAATATGTAGGGGATAACGATATTAATTAATATGAAATATTAATAACTTTACTGCTTCTCATAGTTATTATTAAGCAAATACGCCTCTGGTTCTGAGTATGCGCATATTCATATTCAAATGCATTCACAGTGATTAAAAATAAATCGCATGTTTATTGAGGCGATTCAGCATGGATTTAATGTGACTAAAGCACAAAATTGCAACGTATGATATTTAATTGGAAACTGGAAAATCGCTTATGATGAGCGTTAAACATTTCTGTTTATTCAAACAACATACAATAGTTAACTTCCCGTAGGGCAAGTTATAGTAATCGCAAAAAAATCGAAATTGAAATTTTTTATATATCTTTACGTTTCAAAGGTTTCTGAATATTTTGGCATACCTTAGAAAAAATGGATGTATGTGTGTGTGTATATGTGTGTGTGTGCGTGAGTGTGTGTGTATGCGGATACAAATTTCGTCGACGATTTCGGGAACACCGATCAACCGATTTGAATAATTTAAAAAACATTCCATTCGTATTGATAAGGAGACGTGCTGATTATTTTTTGGCGAAGGCAGGTCTAGCCGTTCCCAAGATATGGGGCAAAAAGTGCTAAAAACGGTAACTCAGTTTGTAAGAGAACGGAGCGTCCGATTTTAATAATTCAAAAAACATTTTACTTATATTGACGAAATGAACAACTGGTATTTTTGGAAAGGCAGGTCCAGCGGTTATGGACTCTCAATAAAAATAAGTTAAGAAAGTCTCATTTGGCGGTCAAAAATGTTTATTGGACATATGTACAAAAAATTATCAGATCTTTTATAGAGATTTTAATATTGTGTACACATTTTGTGTAAATTTTTTTGAAGTTTATTTATATGGTTCAAACAAATGTTCTCGACATTTTCGACAGTATGGAATAACCGATTTTTAAAACTGAAAAATCGGCTGAAAAATTTTGAAAAAAATTTTAAATCATTAAAAAAATCATTTAAAAAAAATGGACTCTTGTAAACGTACACTGTTTATGAGATACGCTCGTCGCCCAATTTAAAAAGCACTTATAAGTTTACAGTATGTAATAAATAATCTTTGAAATTATTCAAAACAATTATTGATTATTTTCATTCCTCGAATGTTTAATTACGGTACGGGAAGTTCTAGCAATTTGCCTTAAGGCACTATGCCATGCGGTCCACTAGTTTTTAAAACTTTAAAATCATTTGAATACTTCTTAATTTCCTGGTTTTTTAGAAGGCAACCCAAATGTTAACTTGTCTCTATTTGATATATTTTAATATTAGAATTTTTCTAATACTGATGATTTTTAATTTCCCGTAAGGTAAGGTATAGTAATCACAAAAAATCGAAAATAAAAATGTTTGCATGTCTTGAAGATTTAAAGGATTATTTGAATATTTTTGATTACCTTACGCCGATACAAATTATCGACGATTTCGGGAGCACGGATCAACCGATTTGAATGATTCAAAAACCATTCGAAAATTGAAGACACGCAGCAAAAAATTCCTAAAATTGTTATTTTAGTTTTTGAAATAGCGGAGCGCCTGATTTGAATTATTCAAAAAACATTTTATTTGCATTAACAAAATTAAGATCTTGTCAAATTTTTGAGAAGGCTGTTTCAGCGGTTTCGGAGATCCAATGAAAAAAGTAAAACAAATGCTATTTAGGGGCTAAAAGTTATCATTAGACATATGCGCGTAAAATTATCAGGTATTTTATATAGATTTTAATAACTACAAATATTGTTTACATTTCTATAGGTTCCATACAAATATTTCTCCGTTTTTCTGCGACGCGGCGCTAACGCGCGATTGCTTTGAAAAAAATTCAAAATTTTCAAAAAAATTTGAAGCATGAAAGGAAAATCAAATTTTAAAATAAATTGTCAAAAATATTTATATTACCCAGTGAAAACCAATGTCACTACTGCTTGACGTCTGGCTATTCAAGGTGGAAGTTCACTATTTAAACATGAATACAATTTTCAGAACTTTTACAGTCTGATTCAATATTATGTGATTTATATATTCTATTTATAATTTCTAGCGTTGACGCATTTAGTTTTTAATTATTTCTAAAAAAAATAATATGTCTATCATATGTTCTATATATCATCAACTAAAGAGTTTCAAAACTTCCATTTGTCGACATACATAACCGAATTATTTAAATTTTCAGCTCGTTTGGACATATTTTAACCACGATTCACGCTTTCTGGATAACATCTGTGTATTATTTGCAACTATCAAGAATAATTATCAGGTACGTTACAATATAATTAATATTGGTTTATTTAATGATCTAATAAGGATAATCTCTATCGGGACTTTGATTGAGATTAAATTATTATAATAAGATTTAATTTTAAATAGATTTAACGAAATAATATTTACAATATTCTACCAATACAAAATATAAACTTCATGGCACATTTTTTACAAAGATTACACTGTATTATATTTTGATCTTTTTCGTCAAAAATATTTATAAGCAGAGTTGGAATAACTATTAATTTAATTCAATTAATGTAAAATTATTTTTTAACTGAGTTTTTATTGTAATTTTTTACTTTTTATTAACATTACTATTTTTTATTGTTTACACCTTTGCCAGAGTAGAAGTTCAGTTGGTCCCTTTTACTTCATTCGCATGCAAACTATTATAAAGGTCGACTTAATCAATAAAAAACTAGTGGGGTGTATGGCATCGTGTCTTAAGGCAAATTGCCGGAACTTCTCGTACCATAACGAAATGTTCGAGGAATATTGAATGTTTTCAAATAGATTATTATAAATATTGTAGCATTGTCTAACATTTATAAGAATTATATAAACTGACGGACGGTATCTACCGTCCATAAAATAATAATAAAAATCGTCGAATTTTTTTTAACACTTTATTACAAGAAAATAGTCCGGCTGATCTTTACCAAAAACTAATCAGCACGATTCCCAACCAATATCTTTCGAACAGTTTTTGAATTTTCAAAGTCGATTCAGAATTGCGGGCTAAAACGTGGACGAAAAAAATTTCTTCTTTTCTGCGATTTACAAAGAAACGGTTCGGCCGATCGTAGCGCTGACAAACGATAATCCCCATCGAGATACGTCGAACGGTTTTTAAACTTTTGAAATCGGTCCAGCCGTTTTTTTGAGAAAACTTCGATTTACGGGAAAAAATCTGTTCGCATACACACACACTCATACTTTTTCGAAATTTGGTCTCATTTGATTCAGAATGGTTTGTGGAAACATAAACTTCTCCTTCGGGAAGTTAATAATTAAATAACGTATAACAATGCTCACAACCAAAAAACTAACTACGAAAGAAAATATTTTTGTTATAGATTTTCAAACTAGACCGATTATCTCCTGATAGCGTAGTCTTAAGAATTAAGGTGATGTATGGTTGCACATCTTTTGTCTTCTACTTTCAAATATTGCTGTTGAAAATTCCTAACTTTACTGGTTTTTAAGATATTGATGATAGACCTTGTCAGCCGCAGACCTTTAGGTCCCGCTTTATCATATATATACTTATTGTAAAATAATATTTTGAACTTTATACTTTCGGTTCTAAACCTTCAGTGATTTAGTTTAGTAAACAAAAACTGTATTATTTTTTATCTAATAATGATTAATAATAGTGAAATTTTTAAGCAAATATATTAATTAATTTACAAATATATATGATTATGAAATATATTTGATTCGATGTTTTAACAATAATACTAAAACGAATTTAAAACAGGATATGTAATATTTCTGAATGCATTGTTCTTGTATAGGATACTTACAGGTTCTTAGAAATTGCTTTCTTACAAGGACTTTCTTACCATAAAAGATACTGTTTTAGTGCCATTTTATATCTGTAATCAAATATGTAGGTGTTTCATAGACCGAAACCGAAACAATAAAGTCATGGCGGATGTTCCGCTAAATTCCTAAACATTGTGATGAGTAAGGAACAAACCGAAAGTTTTAAACGTCCGCGTCCGGATTCAAATTAAATCTAGTGGTGTGTATGGCATCGTGCCTTAAAGCAAATTGCTGGAACTTCCCGTACCGTAACGAAATGTTCGAGAAATATTAGATGTTTTCAAATAGATTATTATAATTTTTTATTTTTTTTATTTTGGATATAATTTACATCTGTCCAATATACATTAGGTAAATTTTTTAAAAATAACAAAGAAGCTGCCTGCAAAATAAACTATTGAATGCTTACATTGATTAGATTGCACAGTTGCAATATAATTTAAGAAAAGTTTATGATCTAGATTGACTTGGGATGCCAGTTAGGTCCAAAGGCGTTTTCCTTTTTAATCTTTTGGTGTAGTTTGCTGAGATGAGTGCCTTGGCGAGCCCGTTGGGATGGTCCTCCAGTCGGTGACTGTGTTTGATGGCGTATATTGTAATTTCTTCTTCTACCGTATGCAGGCCCGTGTTCTGGTGGAGCAGCCACACCGGTACATATTTTGGGGCGTTCAGGATGATCCTTAGTATCTTATTTTGAAACTTTCGAATAATTTTTGTATTGCTCTTAAATGCTGTCCCCCAAAGTGCAATCCCGTAGGTCCATATGGGTTTTAGGATAACTTTGTAGATCAATAGTTTGTTGTATGTAGATAGTTGAGATTTTCTACCTAGTAGCCAATAAAGGCTCTTGAATTTTTCTTCCAGTTGTTTTCTTTTCTTCTGAATGTGTGTTTTCCAATTAAGTTTCCTATCCAGATATATACCCAGGTATTTAACGGCAACTGCTTGTTGTATCAGTTCTCTCAATTTCTCTCAATCATTAGAATGTGACGCTGCAGAAGTTCGGATGCTATTTTAGGGTCTTCATGCTTGGATAGGATACATCCCTAGTAGCAATGAATCTGATCTGAATATGATTTTTATGTAAGCTAAATATGATTTTCAAATATTGAGCCCATATGATTTTGTTAACATTCGGTCATATTCCGCTCAGATTCGTAATGAGGGACGAATGCGGGAATATGATATTTAGCTTATACGATTTGCTTAACATTTTTCCATATTACGCTCATATTCCGAATGAAAGGAGAATATGTGGAAATAATATTTATACCATATTGAAAAATTTATCTAAACCATATTCAAAATTATTGACCCTATATTCTGAAATATTAAATATAATTCAATTAATATTGAACAAACACCATTAATAAAAAAAAAATTATGTATTCTGAATAAATATATACAATTTTTAAATAGACAATATATTGAATTTCATCAATTTTATTACAATTTTCAAATCATTTTTCATGATTATAGGATATATAATATTTAAAATATATTTAGTATCTATAATATAACATTTTGTGCCATAATTAATTTTATTATAGTCTACTCTACATGTTATTTTCCATGATTATAGGATATAAAATATTAAAAATATATTTCATATTTATGATATAACTTTTCGTGCCATAATTAATGTTTGTTTATGTATAAGTACTAATCATTTGAGATATTAAGAGTTCACTTGTCTGTTCACTTGATTTTCCATGTCAGTGAGGTTATAACAAATTATTATTTCATATTATACACCAATAATTCTGTTATTCACTACAATTTCACACACCAAGTTTCGTTTTTAATTTCACAAAATAATATTTTATCCACACATTAACTTTTATTAATTTTATCACAGTTTACACACTATTATTATTGTTTATTACTTGAAGATTTAACAAATTTTTCGAACAACGCTTCGAGAACTTTCTCCTGCAGTACCATGTGCAGTGAAGACGCGTTTCTATGAGTGTGTGTTTGTCGAATTTCGCACACTGATGATTAACGTGCGGTTCCATCAAATATTTATAATTAATACAATAAAAATATGAGTTAGTGAGCGTATATATATATATATATATATATAAATATATGTATATATATATATATATTATTTATTTATTTAATTATTTATTTATGCGGAAATAGATATCAGACAGTACATCTTTCAAGACATTTTTCCAGCGTTTTTAATGACAGCCAGTTTTCACGTTCCTTCAAAAAACGTAATCTATAAATTATTAGTGTTATATATATATATATATATATATATATATATATATATTTTCATTGTTTATATATTATATACTATATAATAAGCGGCGACGTTTTTATGCTAGGCTAGTGAGTCAAAAATCAGAGTCGCAATCTGTCGAACTTTACGATATGGAATAGTTTAAAAAATTTATAAATTTAATAATTTTGGTTAATAAATCGTTACCGAATTTGTATATATAACTGATGTACACATAACGGTATATATTTGGCCATAACTGATCGCAGCTGGGCAGAAAGAGAGTAGTTGAAAGGGACAGACATGCGTTGCAACTTGCAAGACGGATTCGCTGCCCCTTGGGCACGCATACATGGACAAATATATTGTATATAATAGGCAAAGGAGACTTGTGGGGATATAGGCGACCCAATATAAACACTCAAAAGATTATTATCGACAATATTTTGTCAAGCCCAAATTTATTTTTATATAATTATTTTCGATAATAATAATTTAAATATAACTGCAGCTAATATTGTATTTAATAATAATATTTGTATTATATTGTTACTGTTTTAATTTTTATCAATGGCAAAACATATTTTATAATATTGCATTTGAACATAACTTTATATATATATATATATATATATATATATATATATATAGAGCAATACAAGAAAAAACATTTTCCACATTCGTTCTTTATTAGCAAAATCTTAAATGATTTGTGTGTGAATAATTCTATATTCTAAATCCTACAATATTAGTACTCTCATACACAGCTTATATTTAGCAATGTGAATAAACCATGTAACACTCATATTCAGTTTCTCATATAAATACCACATTCAGCAATATCGAAAAATCATATGTAAAACATATCATATATCGCTCATATTCGTTCCACATTTAGCAATATGGAAAATCCATGTGAATCTAATATGAATCGTCTCATATTCAGCTCATAGTAATCGCACGTTGTGAACGTGGGCTCAACATTATTTAACATAAGCTACACTTCAAATATTTAGCTTGCATTAAAATCATCTCCAGCTCAGATGTATTTCTACTGGGGATATGTCATCTGCAAACGTAGCAATTTCAGTGTCTGGGGAAGTTGGCATGTCGTAGGTAAATATGAGGAATAAAACAGGACCTAGCACGCTACCTTGGGGAACGCCAGAGTTAATGTTTCTGAGGGATGAGGTTTGGTTTGCCAGGCTAAT